TTTTTTATTTATTTGTTTTTTGTCTATTTTTTAAAATTGGATTGATATTTTTACTTTCATGATTAATGTTATGCTCTTGGCTCTGGACTAGGTTATCTCATACTATGTCTTTACTTTAGGTATATTTATTAATTTATTTAGCTCATAACAATATTCACTATACTTACAAGGTCTCACGGCAACCCCTTTCACTAAAATTGTAATGGGCAGACATTAATCTAACAGTAAAAAATTGTAATAAATTCTGATGGAAATTTGTGATATCAACTATAAGTGTGAAATATTTAACACAGTGATTAAGTTCATTGATAATAAATAATTCTTAATTTGCTTTACTTTTACAACTTTTTTTTATGTTTCTGGGAATAAAAATTTTTAAAATATTTTTGACTGTTCTTCTGTGCTAAATTAGGTTCAGAATACACACACACTGACATAGTCATCTAGAATATATCAACCTAATAACCCGAGTGAAGCTGGGTAATTTGGCTAGTCTATAATAATAAAAGAGTGTGTGTGACTGCCATAGTGCCAAGAGGAAATAACCAAGAAACCTGAAATTTTGGACCCATACTAAGTGGACCCTGAGGGTATGCACCTTCTGGGTATTATTACCTATACACATCCGTGTGCACATGTTCATCTTTTTAATGAGGCAAGCTAAGAAAATACCACATAGAAAAGAAGTGGTTCCTTATATTACAAATAGAAACCACAGACAGACAGAAACACTCTTTTATTATTATAGACTAGCATATAGTCCATAGTATACCCTGTAGTATATCAGTTAAATTAACAACTTCTAATATATAGAAAAGCCAATGCATTTTGGTAACAATGCCTTTTATATCGTGTTGCCTAGCAACAAAATTATACCCTAATATTGTTGTTAGTCTGTGTACTGAAAGTATAAAATGAAATGTATAAACAACAAAACTGGAAAAATTTGTTGATTTCTTAATTTAGAGTCTCCATTGATTAAATAGGTTTGTTTTTATTGCTATGCTAAAATATGTTCAGAATATACAGTGACATAGTCATCTATAATATATCAACCTAATAACCTGACCAAAGCCGGGTACTTTTGCTGGTTAGTTAATGTATTTTTAATTTGTATTTCCTAGTGTACTACTGCTGGTTCTTCAGTTGATGTGTTGGTTATATTTAAAATTTTAAACACTGCTGTCATTTTGTATATAAATATAAATGCATACTGTATTTAAACCTTAACAGTTGACTTTTAAGCCTATGTAAACAATAATAGCAAGACAACACTTAGCCTAAGACATATTTAACACAAAGTGAAGCTTCAAATACATTTTTTTGGCACTTTCCCTTAATCATTGCAGAATAATGTTTTTACATTCAACATTTTTTATCATAATCTTCTTATAATTTTCTTTTCAATCACTATCAGTGATTCATTAATATTAACCGACATGCAATTAAAATTGCTTTTTTAACCATAAAAAATTATAAACAAATATTTTTTTAAATTGTTAATCAGGTTTCATTTAATTTATGTAATAAATTTTTAACCTGTTTTATATATATATTTTTCACAGTTATTTTGGTAGTATTATATGTCCATTCAAGAAGTTACTTAGGCTGACCAGTGAAGTCCAAATTTTTTTTTTTTACAAAGGTTGGACCATTTAAGTCTGTTGTATGTACTAAAAATGTAACTAAATATAATTATTTATATTTGTCATAAGACGGCAGTATTAGTGTTATTGTAGTTTTAAACACTACATTCTTTATTCAATCCCTCAGTTTATCCAAAAAGAACAGTGTATAACAGTATTTCAACCACACTATGACACTGGTGATGAAGTGTTTTGCTCAATACTAGAGCTGTTCATGTGGGCTAGAATACAATAAACACAGTAATGATCAGAATGCTACTTGTACAAGCCATTTAAGAGAAATGTATTGTTGGAAGTAGATACAGCAAAAACAGTGAGGGACCAAATAAGTAATTGTGTTTAAAAACACTGTAAGCCCAAAAATATTGTCTAATGACAAATATCATCATGGTTTGTCTGCAAAAGGCATTTGCACGGTAACAATTGTAACTAAGTATATTACCCCTATTCCTCTTAGATATTAATTTTGAAATTGGATTTATATATGTCCATTACACATCACTCATTTTAAATTTTGTTTTTCAAATTTTACAAACGTAGCACCAGTTTAATATGAACTAATTGTATTTTTGCTAATGAAACTTGATATGGTTGAGTGCAAAATGATCTTAGCTGACCTCATTTTGTCCCACAAAAGTATTTTCTATCATACTGTAACATCATAATTAAAATGATGTATAAAAAGATAAAAGCATACTTCACAATACGTAAGGACTGAAGTTCTGGTGTAAGTTGTTTGCATACCTCATTATCATTTGTTCTAACAACATAAACAAAGCCTAGCTTTTATCACTTTGTGCTGATCTCTGCTGAACTGAACAGAAAAACAGCTTTCACTATGTGTTTAGTTTAATAGCTTGCAACTTCTCAAAGCTGAGATGTAGGGGGGTTACATTAAACCACAACAACTGATATTAAGAAATGGTGATTGGCTAAAATTTATAAAACTACACTTGTGTTGAAGTTCTAAGTTCACATTGGTGTTATTTTGTTCAAAACTGTTTCAACTTTACTTCTAGGAAATTATGAGTGCTGTGGTTTGCTCACAAACAATTCAGGAAATTCACAAACACTGTTTTAGCTTGGAGCACAATCAATTAATTCAAAATCAGAATTTGATATTTTTTTTATCTAGAAACTTAAATGAATACAACCTTTTTTACTGAATGTCCACTCTCAAGTATTTTTTAAAGAGTGAAGTAATCACAAAAGGTATATTTGCTATAATTAAAAAAAAAAAATTTAATGGTGTAATTTCTCCATCAGGACAGTATGCACCCACACTGACAGTATACAGTTTAACACCATATTTATTGGTCCTGGTTGTTTGAAGTTTTCTGTTATTACCTAAAAGATTATGATAGTTTATAAATTGTAGTTGAGCACCTGCAAATAAAAATATTCATGAAATCAATTCTTTTAAGGTTAATTTTTTTTTGTGAACAAATCAATTTCCTTCATATCATCTCCTACTAGACCAGCTGTAAGTATCTGGACTTGAAATACAAAAATCCAGGGTTTGGTGCTCTGAGTTGGACAGTGTGCAAATAGCCCATTGTGTAGCTTTTTGCTAAAATATCAACAACCTGTTTCTTATCTCAGTGCATATGGAGAAACTCAGGTCTATAGTCGGAATACAAACACTACTTACCTAAAATGCATATTCATAGAGGGATTTTATGTAACAGAGCTGAAAAAATATTAGAAAGTGGCTATGCTAGCACACAGTGTGTTACATTCTATCTACAATCTTCATTCATTTAATTTTGAAAAACCTTACCATTTGATGAAAAATAAACTAAAAATATGTTTTATAACCCTGATTTTTTGTATTCTGGATGTGAAACTAGTTATAAATCCATTGGTTATTTAAATTCTATTATTATTAAAGTAGTTAAACCTACTTTAATGATGTATTTATTATTAGGCGTTGGAATATTTTTAACTGAATAAAAATTCAACTTTAAAACTCCACATGTTTTTTGTTTTATGGCATTATGACTTGCATACATTAACATTCAGAAATAATTTTCTTTAATTACTCACAGGCTCAAGCTACTCTTGTTGACCTTAACAACTGGACTTTCTCAGGGCCGCAGTATTCTGTGAGTTCATGTATTAGTTTGTTTACTTACTGAATTCAGGAAAATTTTAAATACATTTCTTTTTTTACTCAGAGCTACAGTATTTCTAGTTTTTACTGGAGTTCAAGTCTCTTATAGGAATATATTGTTTTATTCTTTTTAATCATTTAATATCTTGGCTGCAGATATCTTGATACGTTGAATAAAAAATGTTTTGGATAATTCTTGATTCTGTTTGTTTACAGCTACTATTTTATGATAACACTTTTTTTGTTGTTGTTTTAATTGTAGACTTTTTAATAACTATAGGGACAGCAATTCATTATATTTTTATCTCCACCATAGTCAATAAGAGTCTAGTATTCATATAGTGTACAAATTCCACTGATTATTTTCTTGTATTACTGTACCTTTCTTCAAAGTATAATTTCAGAAGGAGCACCACTTCTGTTATATCTTATCAATATTAAATAGATGGGTGAATATTTGCGAATTACAAAATATATATGTTAATGGCATAAGATGAAACCGCGTGAGGGGCATTTCTTTTATTTTAGAAGCTTAACGGTTCTGATCAAGTGAAACTCAATTATTTCTAACAGGGTGTTCTGTTACAAGATTTGGAGAAAAAGATTAGATCATTGCCTGAAAATGGACCAGTATTTTCTGTGATAACTAGGTATGTTATTGGCAGGTTTAAATTTTACATCATTTTGTGTACAGTTTCTGTGTTATTTGATGATAGTGTGTTTGGAAGCAATACTAGCAGATTCCAAAATTTAAAAAATAATTTGTCCATTTAAGCCTGTTGTATGTACTAAAAAACGTAACTAAATATAATCATTTATATTTATCATTAGAACAGTATTAGGGTTATTGTGTTTTTAAGCACTGCATTCTTTATTCAGTCCCATAGGATTTACCCACACTATGGCATATCTATGCTTATGGTGTGTTTTGCTTAATACCAGTTATCAGGTGAGCTGGAATACAATAAACATAGTAACTGTTCAAACACAACTAATGCAAGCCATTTAAGAGAAATGTTTTGTTGGCTGTGGATATAGCAGAGATATCATGGTTGAAATACTATTATAAACACTTCCTGGGAAAACTGTAAGGGACCAAATAAATAATATAGTATTTAAAAACACTATAAGCCTAACAATTTTGTTTTATGACAAACATAATTGATTATAATTGTGAATTATCAGCAAAAGGCATTCACACCATAGCAATTGTAACTAACTGCATTACCTCTCCTCTTAAATTTGAATGGTTTGTAATTTTACTCATTACACACATCTCATTTTAAATCTTGAATTTCAATGCTTACCATTGTCACATCAGACTAACATAATTTTAGTTTCACTATGATAATGATGAGTAAAATTTGAAGATCTATTACCTTTGTTAACCTATGATGGATTTTTTTTTTTAAATATGTATATAGTTCACAGTAAGGAAGATTAATTTGTAGAACAGGTATGACATTTCAATCAGTGGTGGATCGTTTTAGTGTTTAAGAATGATTGCACCAGTGATCAAAATAATATTCCTTAGTGTAAAACCTTAAACTTCTAACAAAATACTAGTTCATAATTTTCAATAAATTCTTACTAGGAGTCAAATTGATAAGTATACCTTCCTTGAGATTTTAGCAAAACAGATTAAATAAAGGACCAGTTTTAAGTTCATCAAATGTTCCAGGTATTTTTAAGATGAGTAGTATCGAAGCTGTTATGAGCCATTAATTTTTTAAAGAAATTTCTTGTTCATGATTCTATCCTAGTTCTTTATTAGACGTTGAAAGAAAAGTTCAACTTTGGCACTCGATAAGAAATTCCTCAGCAGGAGGGAAAGAAAAGAGAGAAATAGTTGAACATCTGTTGGGAAAGAACTACTCTGCATGCGATTTCCATATTTTACAGGTATTAGTTTAGAATTGAAAAAGATAATTTAATAATTTTTTAAAAGAAGTGTTTGCAATGCTGATACATTAGAAACATAACTTTCACATTAATTTTTTAAGGGAATTTTTAATATTGATTTCAAATTTTTCTTTCATAGAGACTAGGCAACCTCTTGCTACCTGTATGAAGATGTGTTTTGAGACCAACCCTACACTGATGAGGATTAATGTTTTGTATATAGTAGTTTCTGAGTCTTTAGATAGACCTTGTAATGTATTTGAAGGAAAAAGGCTATTTATTAAATTAAAGTGTTATGAAGATTATGCTTAATTACAGGTGTCTCCTGTTTTTGTTTGAACTGTTAGTGCTGAGAAAACAAGCTGGTCAATGAACAAATTTGAAATGTTATATGTTTATATACTTTATTTTTGGACATACAAAAGCAACACCACATAGATTGATTTTTTTTTTTTATTAGCAAACTCAATACTAATTTCAAAACATCAAATTTCTTAATTTTCACCAAGCCTAAATATTAAAAAAATTAACTTCATGAAAAAGTGATAGGAAACGCACTCCCAAAACTTTCACAATGGAAGTGTAGTTTGAATTTATGTTCGCAAGCTTAAACATCAACATGCAAGATTAATGTTGAAATATATAAACTTTCCAATACTGTTTTACTGGCAGAGCTATTTTCAATTACATATGACAATTTTACTTTTAGAAATTTGTTTTATAAGGCAGACAAAAAAAATACTTGATGAAGTTATAATTATTTCTTTTTAAATTTGAAACATAACATATCTTTCAGAGAAAACTACACAATGTCTGGTTAGAGACCCAATTTACTATTTGCCATGCTCTAAAGCATGGAAGTGTTAAAAAAACATGATGCTATGGTTATTTTTAAAAACCTGAACAGAGTGAATAATACCATTCTAGGTAAAGTGCTCCAAAAATTGTTATTTTTAAAGAATAACTAAATAAGATCTTAGACTTTTTGGAAAGGCTAACATTACTAAATACGATACTTTTGTGCCATTTCCTCTTTAACTCAGTGAAAAAAACGTCCACCTACAGAAAATACTCAGGTTATTTGTATCCCTTGTTTTAACTACATTTGTGATTCAAGTACTTCCTAAGTATTTGGTAAGGCATATATTAATACTTAACATAAAAAGTAGTCCAATACATTATATTTACCCTTTAGAAATCACTATCAAATTGTTAGTAATTAACACTAAAAAAAATACAAAAAATAATAGATTCAAATGGTTTATCAAAGTCTTAAAATATTCTTTCTCAATATCAATGCTTCCTTCAACAGATTTTCTACAATGTTAATTTTCAATTTCATGATGATATCAAACAGAACACCTGTATGGTCTGAAAATGAACTCAAAGAAAACTGATATACATACATACATACAAGTGTAGTGAACTTTAACTTATTCCCACATCTTAAGTAACAACAGAAGGAAAATCATTACAAGATTAACATCCAGTACAAGATTCTTCAGAGAATAGCCTGTATCTGAGTAAGTTACAAAGTTAAACTGTACAATACAGGTTATTATGATCACAGAAAGCAAGGAATACAAAAAATCGTAAAGGCATGTATCCCTGATTTTATTCACTGATTACGTATTGCACTAGCAATTATCTCAGTAAATATTGTGGATGGATAAGCTTCTTCACTCCCTCCTCTCCCCACCTCTAGAACTATTAAAATTTTAAAGCTTCGATAGTAAAAGAGAAAAAAAAAAAAAGGAGACATAAAACATTAGGTTTTGTATATATTAAGTTCAATTCTCTCCAGGTTAGTGCATTAAAATAAGTTTTCAAAACATACAATTAAGGTATTTCCACACCATTTCAGCCATTAATAAAATGAGGAACAAACATATGTAACACTGAAGCAAAACAATATACTCCAAAAAAAAAAAGATCCTCTTTAAAAACACAGCCGGTTAAGTGTTTGCAAAAGAACATCAAATCCACCTGTATATGATTTTCAAAAATAACTTTACATTTTCAACTCTGTATTCAATATTCTATAACTGAATAGCAGCAATCAGACAAGTAATGCAGTATAAAAATAATGCCCTTCAATAAAAACTTAGAGATTCTAAAAAGGTATATATTTCGACTGAAACTAATATTAAAAAAATCACAAAGTAGTAGTTATTCATTTTCATTATTAGTATCAAGGATGGCATAAATCAGTCCTGGTTGGAAACCTTGTAATGATTACTGTCAAGTTAAACTTGGGTATCTTCTGTATGAACTATGATGATTAAGGCAACAAAACTGATAGCTAGGTACAGATACACTATGCAGTTTCAGAATCTAGTATGAAATGACTGATCTGTAAAATTAGAAAATTATTATTCTAATAATTATTAATCTTTTTTGTAAAATTAGAAAATTATTATTCTAATAATTATTAATCTTTTTTAAACTAAATGCATGGTTAATTCCCCCCCCCCCCAACAAAACAATGGTGGTACACAGAATAAATTGTACTTCACCTAAATTACTAGAAAAAAAAGATCCTTACAAAATAAAAAAAGTTAAAGAGAAAGCAAGCAAACAATATTTTACAAATGTTAGTTCTTCCTTCAAAATAAGCAGTCTTATCCATAACTATATATAAACAACATTACTGAAGTTATATTTTCTCTATTTAAGAAAAACATTTTAAGGTCTGATCTAGATATACTTGTCAAAGTTGTCCATTTTAACAAAGTTTAGTATGACTACATAGAATACTGTTCATTTTATCCAACAAAACAATTCTATTTCCTTAGTCTGGCTGAAGGAAATGATTTGTTTGTTGTTGGTTACAAACTAATGGCATTCTATGTGAATATTATAAGTTACTTTATCTAGAAATGTCATTAACACCTAACAGAATGAAGATAAGTATGTTCAGTCTACTAGTACAGTAAAAAGATCCTTGAATGATGTTTTCTAGCGAATTTTCTAATGATTATTGATGAACTCTATTACCTACGAACATTGGTTATAATATCAATTACTGTCACAAAATAACTGATTAACTGAAAATAGGATTAAGTGGATCAATGTCATGAAAATAACCAACTAATCAAAATTAGTGTTTCTGATTATTCCAACTATCTATGTGAGAGTAATCAATTAGCTAAATGTAATTGATTAATTAACCAGAATTCCACTAATTGCCCAACCCTGTTTCAACCTTTACTTGCTCATTAGAATTCAATGACAGTTTGACAGTAAACTCAATGCTGTGAGAGAGAGAGAGAGAGAGAGAGTGTGTGTGTGTGTGTGTGTGTGTGTGTGTGTGTGTGTCTACAAGCAAGATACGACTTTATACTCTGATGGCATTGTACATGAATAGTTGGAATTCTCTGTTTGCCTGTAGCTATAAAAGTATAACATGGATACATTATGCAATGCTTAGATTTTTGAAAAACCAACATCAAAAATTTACCCACAAGAAAAAAGTTGTCACCAGAAAGAAATGGCAGTTTTGAATACAAACTTGTAACTACCCATCAAAATAAATTTCTTATAAGCAGTATTTCATATAATTCTAATTTAACCTTTTCTTTAACAGTAAATTCAGGCAATAACACTAGTCTAGGAAAATGTCAGAAGAGAGCTGCTCCACTGGAACTTAGTTAAAACATGACAGTATGATTTGTAGAAATACTGAAAACTATCTAAACACAAATTTAGTAAAATATATTCAGGAAAAAAAAAAAAAAAAGACAGAATAACCTTCTCAATTGTGCAGGACAATATTTTAGCACTTTACCACCAATAAGATCATCTTGATGTTCTTACTAATCCTCTGCTTCTTGTTTAAAGACGTTTATTGGTACCCAGCTGGGCATTACAGCTTGGGCAGGTGTGTTCAGTATCCTTACAACTATCTATAACTAATGGGATCCAGAAGCAGGGACAACTGAAATAAGCACAATAAATTAAATAACACATTCTAAGACTGGCTTTTGAAGCAGTTTATGGAAAAGTATTTTTTTAAATTTTTTCTCACCAGGTAACAAATGCATTCCAACGTGAATTAGACTACCTTCATTATGTCATAGTAAAACTATATAGCTAGAAATTCTACAGCTGTTAATTTCTCATATTCCAAAAACTGAAATATCATTAATACTTTCCTGAAATGATCATGAACTCATGTAATGAAACAAATGTTTCAAGTATAATTTATATTTATGTTTTTATACTGCAACGGATAATTAATTATGACATTGACCAAGCACAGCCATGATACTGATGTCAAACAGCAACACATCATTGCTTGCAGCAGCCGCCAGTTTCACTGTAAACAATGAAACTGAATATCAATAATGTATTTTCTTTTTGGCATTGACATCAGTGAATTTTGACCAATTATTGTAAAACACAAGGGAATGAAGTAGAAGTACATAAATTTTTTTTTTTTTCAGCTAGAGGCAGGAAACAGGTGATTACATTGCTGAAACTTAAGTGAAACTCAAGACTTTAGTTGCTGTAGACAAACAAATCACAAGAAATACAGAATAACAATAAAGGAGAAAAACTGTATAAGGTCACTTTTTTTTTTGTGTATATTAAGTTTAACAACTTGAAAGAGCATACAATTCAGAATTTATCAAAAGTCCACAATTCCAAAACATGCAGCAAAAAACATTTGATAAGATCAACATTGCATATGAAACTAATAATAAGCAAACTTTTAGATTTTTTATTCATATTTAGATGCTAAACATAAGTACTTTAATCTCTTGGTTACTCTTCGATGAGTTGTTTTAATTTTAGTAAACATTAAGATACATAAAATAGACAGTTTATGTAACTGTTCAGATCTTGGCTAATTTTACAAAAGTAATAAACTAATCAAAATTAGTGTTTGATTATTACAACTATCCATGTATGGATAATCATGTAGTTAAATGTAATTGATTAACGAACCAAAATTCCAACAATCACCCAGCTTTGTTTCACCTTTACATAATGTCTACTTGCTTATTAGAGTTTAATGAAAACTTTACTTACAAAAGGAGACAAATGATCAAGGCCATCAAATAAGCAAACAATCCAGCCTTTTTATCCACAGTGGTAACAACAGTATTGTGGCAGTTGGGGCACGTTGTTTGTACAGGAGCTTCCCCAAAGGAAGGTTGCTGCACCACAACAACTGTTTGCTGTCCTGTAGAACATTCCAATAATGTACATCTTAATTTAACTGATTATGTTACAAGTTCTTGTTTATATACAAAAAAAATAATGTTAAGATCCAAGAGGATATGAAAAGTTACTCAATACTTTTCAATAAGATGTTTTAGTCGTTGAAAAACAAATATACAACTAATTAAACTACTAGACTTGTGTAACACTTTTTTGGGGGAGTGGAACACAAAAGCTACTGTTGAAAAGAAAATTGGAAGTGGGTATTTCAGGATAATATTCTAGTTTTGTGATCCAAAGTCTGATGTTGAACAATTTATTTATATTTTTACAATATTTAAGTTCATCTCATGCCAAGGAAACCATTTTGTTTTTCAAAAATACCTGACCCTAGCACTTTTTGCAACAGTTAAGAAATAACATAATTTGTGTGTAAACCTAAGTTTCTATATCAAATATAAAGCAGTGCTCCAGATAATGATTTTCACAAGTTTATTCCAACTTGGACATTTTGTTATTGTATTTTCAGGATCAGAAAATAGGTTGATACCAGGTAAAATCCAGAGATGCCTCTTACATTTCTTTAGTAAACCAGTCAATATAAATTATAAATCCAGAAAATCAGTTGATTTTATTAAATATTTGATGAATTAAATCAAGAACCAATAGAAGAGCT